GTTTGTCATAATCATGTCTTGTGATTATTTGGCAGGAGTTTTACTTTTAAACTGTAAGTGTATTTAATTTAGTTATGTTAGTTATGATGTGAATACAATAAAAATTAAACCAAGATTTAGAATAATTATCATTTTTGATCCATTCTTTGGTAATGTCTGAGTGGGCCTCATGTCACTTTATGTTCAACAAATAGGGCCCCGAGGTCAAAAAGATTAAGAAACCCTGAAATAAAGGTTAAAAACAAATAAGTYCTCTCATCTTCAGCTTGATGCAGCTGTTATAATGACTCACTCACATTAGTTATATTGAAAACCACAGAGACTCTTTAAAGCCAAGTAGAGTAGGGTTGAGACTGAGAMGCATGAACAGGTTTTTGTTACTTTACTGAATGTTTAGATCAACTGTCTCCAACTATCCAGTGATACTTTGATTCATCTCTGCATCTGCTCCTCCGTGTCTTTCAGTCACTTTTACAAGCCGCTGCTGAGGAGAGGATTCAGTAAAAGAGTCAGCCAATCAGCTGTTTTCTTCCTGTCKGCTTTCTTCCACGAGGTAAGCTGATCAGTCGCGACAGCTCCTTTTCACTCCTCGTGATACAGTATGTCGGGTAGAAAACACTCAACCGTGGCTCGTGTTTGATGTGGCGCAGATGTTCAGATCAAGTCTCGGCTCAGAACACGACTGACACGTTTTTGTTTTCCTGTCAGTATTTGGTGAGTGTTCCTCTCAGGATGTTCAGACTGTGGGCGTTCACTGGCATGATGGCTCAGGTGAGACACTGCAAATATCACTGAAGAACTGTGCACTTTACATTATCTGTAGCACGTTTAATTAAAGAATTTAATAACAGGGGGTGCTATGTATGTTGAAAGACGTGTTGACAAAATCAGACACCCATTTTTTTTAGAAGTTTGCACAATATCCTGAGGTCTTTAGTCAGAATACCACAATATTGCATCATTTTTTTCTTGTCAGTTTATAACTGCTGGTTGTATAAGTTCAAGTAAGCCACACAAGTTCACATCACTGTATCTCTTCTGCAGAAAGTGTCTCATTAGAGAAAAATCTTGTATGTTTCTGCTAACGTWCAAATGTGAATTTATACGCAAAATTTCAGTCGGTATCCTCTAAAGCAGTGTTTCCCAAAGTTGGGGTCAGGACCCAAAGTGGGGTCCCGAAACATCAAAGTGGGGTCCTGAAAAGATTTTCTGAATTAATTACATTTTTGCCTTAGTTGTTACAAAGGAGTGAGGTTAGTGTATTTAAAATGGATAAATGTAGTATAAAAATATTGTTACTATGCCCATGTTTTGTTGACCTGATACAAATGTTTACCATCCAAAAATAGTTGGGGGCACAGGTCTCTGTTACTGTTATTTTGTGGGTCAAAAGCTGAAAAGTTTGGGAACCAGTGCACTTTGGTTCCCAAAGTTGGGCTTGGGACCCAATTATGGGTCATGAAGCACCTTGGATAATCTCCAGAAATCAATGTAAAGGATAATAAAATAATTGCTTATGTAATATTTTCCCTATAATTATTACAAAAACATAAAATAAGTATTTATATTTGTGTACAAGCTGTTTAGATTGTCCAAAAGCCTGTGTTTTTATGGTTATTAACGAAGTTCTTGTACTCAGACCAGTAATATTTGGGGTCACAAGTTTTTGCCATGAATATCTTGTGGGTCAGAAGACAAAAAGTTTGGGAACCACTGTGCTAAAGCAATGATTCTCAACCAGGGGTACGTGAGCATATTACAGGGGGTACGTGGAAAAATTCCCCAGGTGTGTACAAAATAAAAATAGGACTGAGATATGATTTCCACAATGTGGAAGTTGCAGACGGAATCGCGAAATTAACACAAAATGGAATCCAGCATAAAACGTGGAATCTCACAGAATTTGCTCATTTGTGTGAGTTCCTGGCGTATTTTGGACGCTTCTGGTTCCTTCACCTGCCATTACCTGATTTATTTATTTAATTACTTATTCTCTTTCAAGGCAACGCTTTTATCTTTGTTTTATTTGAGTTGAAAAAATAAAATAAAATGCCTGAGAATTAAACGTTCTAGGGGGTTAAATAAATAATTTTTATTTAATAATCAGTTGTAGTACATTATAGTTTTGGAGAATCATTACGTTTGACTAAAGGGGTACTAGTGGTATGACAAAATGGTTCAGGGGATACACAAGTCTAAAAYGTTTGGGAACCACTGCAAAGCATGCTATAGTTTTTGTTTTCACTCATGTTTACAACTACCTATGTATTAGGGGTGCAACAATACATGTACCTGTACTGAACCGTTCAATACAGTGTTTTAGGTTCAATACACACTTGTATGGAACAATACAGATTTTTACATTTATTTTATCAACATGTCTTCTGAAGATGCTCTGTGTTGAAGGATCAGTGGATCTGTGTTCAACTACTCCACCTAGGCTGCATTTTTGATCACAGATCCACTGAGAAACTTGCTGTTTCAGCAACATTTAATTAAAAAACTGAACTTTTGAGGTTAAACAAATGTTCATAATTAATTTAAATAAATTACAAGCGAATAAGGGCATGAACATTTCTCTGTTTTGTATCGAAAAAATATCGAACTGTGAGACTAAAATATCTAATCGAACCGAATCGTGGATTTTCTGTATCGTTGCACCCCTAATCTTTGGGTAGTTATCATTTAGCAATGTTTCAATTCAGATATTGCGGACCACGTAGACCCAGGTAGGGCACATCGCACAAAGTCCGAATGCCGCCCCTGTAGGCAGCAAAAAAAAGCTCGTGAAATGAGACAATCTGGTCAGGTGACATATGTTTGCGTTATGCCCCATTACTATGATGATATATCACATTCACATGCCTTCAGGTGGAACATGTATTCACACGTCTTTTCATGGGAGGTAAAACTTCACAAAATTCAGTAATAAAAAATGACAGCCCATGTCTCCTTTTATTAAATGTTCTTGACAGCATAGTTTGAGATGTTTGATTCATAAAAATACTGTAAATAATCCTTTAAACCCAGTGACCAACTTTGTTTGTTTTTCCGAATCCTCAGCTGCCGTTAGCCTGGTTTGTTGGCCGCTTTCTGCGGGGAAACTACGGCAACGCTGCGGTGTGGATGTCCATCATCATTGGTCAGCCTTTCGCCATCTTGATGTACGTCCACGACTACTACGTGTTGAACTACAGGCTCGAGACTGAATAAAGCAGCATGCAAATCCATCCAATGAACACTTTTTTTTTCCAGTTTTATAAACAAAGAACTTTCCTAACAAATAGCACTAATGTACAGGGCAGGGCAGATACTGTCCTGTAGGATGAGCTGATCAAATCTGCTTTGCCCAGATTCCAGCCAGTGGCGGAGCCAGACGTTTTTCTCAGGGGTGGCCAGACGGGGACCACTACTCWCACAGGGGTGGCCAGAAAAATTACATCACTTTTTACTTGAAAGTTTCTGCAGATCTTTGTGTTTTAGTCATTTCCTTATGTCCTTATACAGGCAGTGACCTTATAAACATGGGTGTCAAAACCATTTCAAAAGTGGGGGGACACACTCTTGGGGGGTCTGGGGGTCCTCCCCCAGAAAATTTTGCACAAAAATAGATGCCATTTCCTGCATTCTGGTGTATTTTACCAAGCTGTTTAACATACTTTTCCCTACAAAAATTAACACTCGATTTAATAATTATTTCAGAGACAGATTCTTTATTAAACTAGTTTCACCATCCTGTTTTTAAACTCACTGCTACAGCTGAGATAAGGTTAATTAATGTGTCACGATTTATCATATCCAAAGAACTTAGGGGTGCTTTTTACTTTAATATTGTTTAGTGATTTATTTTTAATTTTAACACGTTATTGTGCCAAATAATGATGACCTTCAACTGCATGTTTAAAACTAATATTAATAACGTTATCCAATGAACAGGTGCAATATTGATAATCACCAGCAGTGAATTTAGAGGGCCATTTCTCTTTTTCTGATTTAGTGGTAGGTCTATTCCTGCTCAAAAGGGACAGAGCATCATGCAGCCTTCATAACAGAAAATGACACTGTGTTATGGTGACAAAAAAATAAAAAAATAAACATTTGTCACCATAAGCCAGGTTACATAGGCATATGTTCCGTATATAAAGAAAATAATCACTTTTTTGCATACATGTCAACCTCTTTGGACATTTACCTGTATAAAGAGCCCTAAAAATCCATAAATTTTGCAAAAAATCCATACAACTYGCACCCGCGGGGGGTGGGGTGGGGGGATGTCAACTGTGGACATGAAAGCGCCTGCTGTGAAGCWGRAGGAAAGGAGAGAGGAAAAAGTAACTTATTTCTAGCGGCAGAACAGGTTGGAAGATGGCTGTTTCATATTTATTGTTTTTTAAATCATCCTACAAGCTCTGACATGTTAGATAAATTTGAAAATGAGGTTTTTAAAATATCCGTAAGACTTGGAAAAAATCCGTGAGATTGCTCTACAGTATACGTCCGTATACCTGCAAAATGACGTAAAATCCTTATAACTTATGGACAATCCGTACAAGTTGACATGTATGTTTTTGCCACTTCTTTGAGCTTGGGGATGTTTCAAATTGTTAAACACTGCCACCAACTGTTCAGGAGGATTATTACACCCCTAAATGTTGTTTCTTTGTGTAAGGGGTGGCCAAAGATGTGGCCAAGGGGTGGCCATGGCTACCCCTGGCCACCCCCTGCCTCCGCACCTGATTCCAGCATGTTTACATCAAACACCTTACTGTTCGTGTCTTCCTTCTAGGAAAACGAAGAAAACTTCAGAGGAGAAAATAATTAGTGGCAGGATAATAATCTTAAACTACTGCTGAAACTTTAGGAAGGTAGAACAAAGGAAACTAAACGCAGCTTTACTCTCAGGTGATTGTATCTATCCTGTCTTTTTGGAATGTCTTATTGTCAGTCTGGGCTGAAATTTCTGTAAACGGGACATTTTTTTATATTTCAATGTAAGAAAAAACAGGATTTAGTTAACTCTTAGAGTATATATAGAGTATATATAATGTTCTACTTTTGGAATAGGAGGAATGAAGGTGTAGGTTAATCTGATATTATTTAATAACTTTTCATCATCAGTTTCTAAGAATTACTGTAAGCATTACTGTAAATCTTTATATGTCTATAATACCAAAACTTAAGCTCAGCTGGTATTGATAAAGAAAACTCATTATACTGTATGTGTACGATATATATATA